ACACACACACACACACACACACACACACACACACACACGGAGAGACCCTCATCCCACCTGGTGCCTCTGTCGCGTCACATTGATCGGGGAGGCTGGAACTACGCACCTTGACCCTTAACCCCTGACCTGCGACCTCTGTTGTCTGCCTGGCTCTGGCTCGTGTGTGTGTCTGTGTGGAAAGCGTAAATCCGGTTACACAGTGGGGTACTGCCCCCCCACTTTTTTATTTTTTTATTTTATTTTATTTTTTTTTGACGGTGTGGGATAAAGAACAGGAGTTATCGTTATGAAAATGTTCAAGTTTTAGTAAGAAATGTYGATTTGTAAGGTAAAGAATCAGAAGGTGATGATGATGATGGGAATGGGTGTGTGGTTTCACAGGGGACATGAAGCAGCTGCTGGTTTGGATCCAACGGAACCTCCTGAAGGAACGACCCGAGCTCTTTGTTCAGGGAGATTCTGTGTGAGTACACCTGACACAAACACACAAAAACAAATAAACACACACACATCTAATAAAAAAAGAAGCATTGTGACTCAAACGAACCTTTGCAGTGTGTTGAAAACATTATTTATCAGCTAAAATTCTGCAGAAAAGATTTTTCTCAGGTTCTTTGGTTCTGCAGGATGATTACCTGACACACACACACACACACACACACACACACACACACACACACACACACGTGTGTATGTTCAGCTCTTATAGGGCCGGCTGACTTTTACAGCTGCCTTTGTGTGCGACTATTTATAGCCCCATCTGACCAATGAATGGAGAAAACACTGGCCCTGCACACCCTATAGAATAGTTGTGTGTGTGTGTGTGTGTGTGTGTGTGTGTGTGCGTGTGTGCACATACTGCTCTTTTTGTGTCCTTTAGTTTTATATTATCTTTGCCTTGCCCCGGTGTCTTCCTCTGTTTTTTTAGCTACATTCAGACCCGTGTTTGGTTGTGTTTTTTCTCACGTTGTGGTTTTTGCCCTGATGTCAGAGTGTGTGACGACAGGAACGCTACGATCAGCTTCAGCATCTTCCTCCTGCGTTATCTACATCACATGACTTGTTGTTTTCATTAAATTTTGTTGTGTTTTTGTTTTGTTTTAGTTGTAGACCCCAGAAAGTATAATCTAATCCGATCGTTTTAAATAAACACAAAGCATAAGCCAGTCAGGTGTTGGAGTTGCAGCTTTGTCTTTGTGTTTGTATATTTTTCTCCTGCAGCTGCTGTGAGCTGGATGTGAGAAAACAATAAAAAGAAAACAATTTTACTTTTGTTGCTCAAAAAACATATTTAAACACAAACTGTTTACATTTTTATTTACATTTTTAGCTCGTATTTATTTTACACCGAGAGCCTGACACATGACAATATTTATTTAAAACAATTAGCTCTTGATTATGAGCATATCTGCTTATTTGGCTTTCATTTAATTCTATAATAAATTATGTGAGAGAAGAAAAAGAAGAGACTGAAAAGATTTTATTCTTTCATTGAACTTATTGTTTTTATTTACACTGATGAGAACATCAGGTGTAATAAGAAATAATTTACCTGGAGCAAAAATTTAAACCTTGTATTAGAATAAAAAATAGTGATTTTGTTTTGTGTAGTCTTTGTTTTATTGATAGAGAAGGCAGTATTACAGAGGTGTGTGTGGTTTTACTGTGTCACTGAACCTGCTGTGTTCTGTTCTCCCACAGGAGGCCTGGGATTCTGGTGCTCATCAACGATGCCGACTGGGAGCTCATGGTGAGCGGCGGGAGTCAGGTTCACTGTCAGATGATGTGGAGGGGGTGGGGGTCCATTATAGCCCCATTTCATTTACATAAATCATATTTATCAGCTCTTATTTAGACAGAACTACACATTGAGAGTTAGATGTTTGTTTATTATAACCTGCAGACGTATTTCTTGTCTGATTTTGCTTCATAAAAGCAGTTTTGAGACTCCATTAGCAGGTTGTATAAATGAACTGARACATTTGTCATTGATTGGACCCCAACAGAAACACAGATTCATAATAATAATATTCTTTTCTCATGTTTTGTTTTCTGCTCGTTTAATTTTAAATGTTTTGTTTCTCRCAGGGGGAGCTGGACTACCAGCTACAAAACAACGACAACGTCGTGTTTATTTCCACTCTCCACGGAGGATAAAAAAAATGAACATCTGGACACGTATAGAAGCTTTTAAGATTTTTCTACACATCTTCTGAACCTGAACCCCCCCCTCCTTCGTGTTTCCACATCTCAACAGCGAGCCTCCTGATTGGACGCTGATGCCGCGTCGACACRTCGATGAGGAACGAGATCTGAGAAAACTGAGAAATTTTGGATCAAATAAATCAGCCCTGAAGAAGAAAGAAAACATTATCGTGACTGTAAATAAAATGAGCTCATTTTCAGCTGAAGAATTAAGGGTGATTATAAATTTGCTGGCAGTTCTAATTCAAAAACTGTTTCTATTAAATCATTCATAAATGGATCGCAGTTTTTCTTTGTTTTTGTGTTTTTAAACAGCTGTGTCTTAGGTG